AGGAGTGCACGTGCCATCCTCCTGAGGCCTCAACCCACCCACTGGGCAGATAGTATCATTTTCCTAGTTGTCCTATGAGCAAAGTTCTCGGTCGGCTTGGAGTCCATTAGGGACATTTCCAAACTGCCCAACCAAGCCCTCCTGGACAGCACTGGCCCTTGGAGCCTGAGCCATTGTTGGGAATGCTCGGCATCTCCACTCCCCAAAGTGGGAAACGAGCCTTTGGAATGTGGTAAGTGCTGCTGAGAAACTGAGTTTCTAATTTTGCTGAATTTCACTCATTTGGATTCTGACAGAAATGGCCAGGTACGGCCGGGGCACGGCAGGGGCACGGCAGGGGCACGGCAGGCAGGGGCAGCGGGGGAGCAGGACTTGAGGTCCCCCTCCTTGTTCTTGACCCAAAAGGTTTACTTTTGATCTGTTTCCAGTTGGAAAAAATTGTTCCTGTTGTTAAAAAGGCAAATTGAAAACTGCTGACGCTCTAGAAAGAGCGCTTTGTAAGGCAGAGACTTGGGTGGAGGCAGCTGCTCGTCTGAGCCGCGTTCTTTCTGCAAAAGGAAGCTGACAATCTCTGCCCTCAGAGGGCAGCGGGGCCTCCGAGTGAGGTTGTGTAAGTCAAGTGCGCGGGCCGCGGCGGGACACAACCAGCGCTTGAAAGGCACACCTGTGTCCAATCGAATCCGAGTTCACAGCAAAGGGCTCACAGATTCACGGATCTGAYGTCATCGATCCAGTCCCCAACGCGTCACAGAATCACGACACTCTGTGTATTCCTTCTAAGTGCACAGGGGGCGTGCACTCTCCCACCTCCACTCTCCTGACTGTCTGATGGGGAAACTGAGGCATTCAGCATCAAGAGCACKCAACAGCCTCGAAGCATTAAAAGCAGAATTTGGACTTAGCAGGTGCCAAAAGCCACAAAGGTGACACGATGACCAGGTCATGTCACCCACAGGACTGTGGAAGAGAGGGAGGCAGCTGTGTGGACTGCGCAGGAAGTTCAGATGCAGGTGGCAGCTGTCCATCAAGGGGCGGAGCCAGGAGTCGGCGGTGGCTCAGCTTCTCTCCCAACAGACGCACAGCCCAGAGGGTCTGGCGCTACCTCCGCAGTGCCCCCCCTTGTCCCCAGCCCACCCCACCCCAGGCTCCAGGGGACCCTGGGCATGAGTGCTGTAGTTTCTTGTTGAAGGCAGAGGGCGGGACGGGGGAAAGGCCACCAGAAACCGAAGCCCCATGTGGACCTAAAGCTGTTGGGGACTTGAGCTGTGGCTGGCAGAGACAGAGTGACATACCAGGCAGCAGCGTGGTAACTGGCGGCRGGGCTAAGAGAAACCCAGACCCAAGGCCAGCACCGGAGGGCCCGGCCTTCAGAACCCAGCAGCCTGGGAAGGGGGGGAGCTGGCGGGTGAGGGAGCCCAGTTTCCGTTCTCTGATGGACGTGTCCTGCTGTTTTTAGGGGTGAGTAAGTCATCTTCTTCTGCCTTCCCGGGTAAGTGTCCCTCCCACTGGGCAGGAGGAGGCTCAAGGGCCAGGGTCTGCCTGGGATGGGACAGGGCTCCTACCCGGCACCCTGCAGTCAGCACCGCGTCTCTACCGCCACCCCGAAGGCCAACCCTCTGGCCCAGCCTCAGTGACACAGAAAACAGCCCCTACTTCCCAACTCAAGGGAAGGGGCCCTACTGCAGCACAGGGATGCCGAGCTGCGTGACACCCGGGTCCCCGGCAGACATCACACAGGCTGTGTGGGCGCCGTCACCCTCTGTCATCAGCGGTCCTCAAGGATGCCCCRTGATTAGAGATGACGGTAATTCAGAGTGAGAGGGGGAAATGAGACCTCGTGTCTGGAAATTTGCAAAGAAGCAAAGCCAGGAGGGGTGTCACGTGGCCTCCTGCTGCCTGAACCTGGTGCTCTCCTGCAGGAGTTTCTGAGCTCTGAAGAGCTGCTACCGCTTCCTTAGTCTGCGTGTCTGACCTTGTTACTTAACAGGCACAAGTCCCTCCTGACCTGAGGATGCCCTTGAGAGTCCACTCCTGCCCCAAGACTGCCTGTTGGTAAACCTGAATTTCCACGCACCAGGGAAGACCAGGTCCCAGCATCAAGACGTGTCCTCTTCAGGGACAGGGACTCGTATTGTCAAGAGGCCTGACATTTCCTAATCAAAAGTTTCCGGTTTTAGCTCATCATCTCCTTATGCGTGTTTCCAGATCCTCTCTGGGGGGCTCGGCACATTTAAAGGCTAATTATATAGTTAAAGTTAATTATTCATTCATTAACATTCAAGAAGCCTTTAACAAGACATTGACTTGTTCTGAAGAATTAATGAAACCAGAGTGCACACGATTGTGTGCGCGTGTGTGTGCGCGTGCGTGTGTGTGTGTGTGTGTGTGTGTGTGTGTGTGGTGTGGAGGTCTAGTCTCAAGTGTGGTGGAAAATGAAACATCTCTTTGATGATAACTGAATGCATTTGTTTTTAGGTCATGTCAAAGCCTTGCTAGGAAGAGAACTAGATTATCCAGGCCAGCCAACCCACTTGGGCAACTGTGGAGCGGGCAGGGAGTCCAGGTCTACCTGTGCCAGCCCGGTCAACGAGGCCCAGTCCACAGGACCTCTCTGGTCTGCAGTCTTCTCATCTGTACCTCTCCCGCAGGGCTGGCTGTGGCACGGACTGAAATGAACACAAGGGTGTTTTGCTGTTGTGGATCCTGGTGAAGTTCAGGGTGATGTCACTGTGGGGAGGGGTCACTGAGGCATGACAGCCTTGGAAACTGTCTCCGTGGGGAGACCCTCAACCTGCACAGAGACTCATCTACCATCACACACAGCATGGTCTCAATCCGCCTTGAAGAAAGTGACCTCCAATCAGAGTCTGACTCTGAGTTTGTGAGTGGGAGCTTGAAAAGCAGAATCACGCCAACATCGAGTAGTTTTCACAAAGGGGGCTTTTCCAAGAGCTCCCTGCATTAAGCCAACTGAATTCCCAGATCAAGGTCTTGCACCGCCTAGTTAAATTGTTCCCAATTTTTTAAAAGTATTTTTACTGGAATCAATTCTTCTCGTGCTTAAATTCCATAAAGATTTGATTCCTTGATCAGCATTTGGATCACAACGCATTTTACTGATTTTTAACTTCTGCCATCTCCATCTTGAGTTTCCACCAAGTCCGATTCTCCTGGGCCCAAACCAGGCAGAGACAGAAAATCAGCCAAGGAGACT